CCCGCATCAGCCACCGGTCCAATCCCAGTCGCAGCCGCTGTCGCATCCTCCTCAGCAGCAACATCCGCTACCTCACCACCAGCATCAGCCGCAGCATCAACATCAGCACCAACACCAGCAACAGCAGCATCATCCGCCTCCAGGCCTCCCGGCCCATTCTCACCATCAACAGCAGCAGCACCCTGTTCAGCAGAACTCTGCACCAGGGCCATCAGAGTCATCCTCGTTCATTGACCGAGCGAACAAGGCAATCGATGACTTTGAAGCTGTTCTTATGGAAGACTACGAGGACAAGAACTACATCCGGGAAGTTCTCCGGAGTGCGCGCGCACGCGTGTTGGGCGATGCGACGGAAAGCTCCTTCCCAGGCGGCGAGCCAAAAGACGAAGCTGTCATCATGGACGTGCTACGCAACTTGGTCGGCAGCTTGAAAGAGGAGTGAATGGCCTCCTGGCGAGATATCTTACATCTATTGGTGGAGGGAATGGCTTCCTCCCTGACGACTTATCGAGTATACGAGTCTTATGGTTTTGCTTTTCTCTTTTTCGTTTTTCTTCTTCTTTCCCCCATTCAATTTATCCTTTTCAAATTGTTGTTTTTGCGACATGTCTGGATTCTTTGAATCTTAATGATATCCCTCTGTTTGCTACAGGCGTTCTCTTGTGCCTGTTCTATTTTTTCTTTGTCGTACTTAAAATCTTCTCTTCCTGTTCTCTTTTTTTCGGCTCTTCACAGCCCACTGTTTTGGAGGTGCAGAGGGATCTCTCTCATCCTATGGAATGATCCCGACTTGCTTTTGTTCTTTTTGTTTTCATCCTGGTGTGACCCGCCGGATATAAAAGCGTAAAAGCTCATGATAGAAATACCATTCACTCTGACCGGACTAAACACATATGTCAAAGGCCATACTTAGAAAAGTCCATTTCACAAATTAAGCCATTTTGGGTCCTTTTCTGCTGTCTATCCACCAAACTGAGAAGGGAGAGAAAATATCTATATAACCAGACATCTAAAAAGACTGAGACTGCCAAAAAGGACATAAGAAGACTACGGAGAAGACTACCTGAGAAGACCAAGAAGACTACGGCCGTATAAGCGATTATTCTTGTATATCTTCATTCTCCAGCACAGCCATAGATATTGTATGATTCTATTAATAGCGTTGCTGATGTCTACCAAGCAACGGGCAGTACATAGTTCCTGGTGGTCGAAGACAAGCTTCACCACGGGCATTACCTGTACCTCCATACTAGGAATGCCATGTAGGATATGATCTTCGAACGAAGTCATTCTCTTGGACGGGTGTGAGTTTCATTTGTGGTTTCTTTCTCGCACTTGAGCTCGTAGAATGTGGACTTCATTTTGTATGGAAGCAGGAAGGGATGAAGGAATGTATTCCTGGCTGTAAACATGAGTGATCTGGCAGGTGAGCTTCCTATATCTATTAGGTCCTGACAATTGACTTGAAATACTGATATAGTAAAATACATGGATTTAAAAACCAATAGTGGGAAAATATCAGGCAATATCTTAAGAATAAGAACAGTCAAGTAAGAAAGTAACATGAAACACTGCATGCAAACAGGAAGCAATAGAAGAATCATACGAAACGTTGTAGACTAGATTTAAAGCAATAGCACCTCTTGATATGCTTATTCCGCCAATCTAAAAATTCTGGGAACACACGACTCGGTCCTAGGAGTCCTCTTGCTCCCGGAGGCTTTGTTACAGTTCCTGGGAGCACAGAAGCCGCTTCAAGGAGTCAAATAGCCCCCAGGAAAACCGATGTAGTCTCTGTGTGAGGTCCTAACGCATGCATAGAGATGGATAGTGTCTCGAGGTGAATAATCAATACTAGAGCAACTATAGTTTACTCTAGATACAAGACGTAGCGCGAGAAAGCAAAAGAGACAGGCTTCCTCGTGTTCAGGGGAACCCATGTGCACCGTGAGGTCCCGCAAATCATATCTCCATTCATGCACATCCCTGACATTCTGCGGACTTTTACCTCCACCTCGACCAAAGTGACGCTCCTGTTGGCGGATTCATTAACTCCTGGTACCATGACTTGGCCTTCTGGGAATAATCGAATGACTCAGATTTGTCCGCAGGTCTGGCGAAGGTGTCTAGTAAGGATTCTACTCGACCCTTGGAGGCAGAAGATTGGCTCTAGGACCCAAAAAGTAGGGTCCCAGGAGTGCAACAGGTCGTAGAATTGCTTCCGACATTTTCAGGGCCAATTCATTTATTGCCATAGTCAAATTAACAAGCAAGAAAATTTGTCGAAGGTACTCCTATCTATGCAACCGTTGCTTGGATCTTCTGGAGATGCACTTGGATCGAGCCAATCTCCTCATTGCCAATTTTCCGGGTTCCGGAAGCCGTCTTTTGCCCTATAAATCCCGTCATCAAACCAAGTCCGCGTGCACCTGAATTGACGTTGCAGTATATGCTGCTGGTAGGGTTCATTAGGGCGCAGCACAACCACATCGTCCGAAATAGCCTGAGCAAAGTGTGGCCAGTCAACTCACACATTGGGGACAACTAGACATTGGCGACGAGTTGTGAAGAGTGGCCCCAGAACCGATAACGACATCTCGGGCTTTCGGATCCTCGAGAGGCCTGGAACCCAATTCCCGTCTTCCAACCCCTCAGCATGGCGAGTTAGCAGCTCTTGGCCCTTAACAAGGGTAGTAGACGGTAATAGCAGCTTCCCAACCAGATTCTGTCAAAGTCGAGGATAACCTTGCCGTCACTTTCGAAAGTGCGCTTGCAGGATACTGCCTCTGTGATTCGGATGGGAGGAGCTTCGGGAGCCACATATTTAGCCTTCGGCCAAGGGAGGATTTTGGTGCCCAAACAGCTCAAAGATCCCCAGTCAGTACCGGGCATAGTCCAGCCTGCCACTTCTTGGTTAGAATCATAAACCTCGCCATCGTAAATCTCAGCACTGGAAGTACACAGCCAAGAAGCATCCGAGACAAGTGTCCACCGCTTGGGCTTGCCATGGCCACCTTCAATCTCGAGTTGAGCATAGATCCCTAATTCGTCACCGTATATAAACCGATGTCCAGGCTGGAACCCAAGTCGTCCAGCCTACCAACCCTCGGTAGCCTCCATAGAAATGACTTTCTTTCTGCCTGGAGAAAGCAGTGCTGATACATCGTGGATCCGGTACCGTAATCTATGTTTGCAGCTTGTCGAGCCAGGAGCGAAATATTCACCTCCGACGCGACGGCCGTTTATCCAAGCTTGAAAGATTCCCAAAGTAGTGATGTACAGACGAGCACGATTGATGGTCTTAATATCACCTGGAAAACTGAAATCCTTACGGAACCGGAGAGGTCGAAGTAGCTAGTGTGGTCTAATGCTCCGAAGCAGGAATGAAGTTGTCCTGGAAATCGGCCGTTTGAATCGACAGTAGCTGGATGTGACCATGGGCTACATACGTCGCTATCGTAAGAAGTAATCCTTGAATCCTTCGACTTCTCCAGACGCGCACCGATTATTCTTGGCATTTCATGGGCCTCGCTGGCCACAGTAATAAAACAGAGTGGTCACTCTCAACTCGACATACTTGGGGGTTGGCCTCCGACGCATATGTCGAAGTCTGTACCCATGCCCGTACTGTTGATGAATTTGCTTCAAAGCGCTATAAAATTCGATGGGTCGAAGTATCGAACCTAAGCCGCTGCTGTGGTGCTCGAAAGTTTGAGCATATATAGCCGGGATGGACATGATCTAGGCGGTTTCAGCGACGGAGAAGCGATCCATGAGAACCTCATCCGGGATGTCCATTCGCCCTTCCAATTTCTAGCCTATCATCCACTAGTTAAGTAGCTAAGCAGAATGACGTAAATGACATTCGGACTGTATGATTTGTGCACCGGATAATCATTAGGTAGGACATAAAGAAACCAATCCTTATTCGGCTCTTCCTTAACCTACTGCTGCATACACATCAAGTACGGGGCGGTGTGCTTATATTAAGTACCAATTCATCATTGTTCAATATCTGGAAGGAGCATATTCACCCTCGACTCCGAAATTTTGGGTGATTCAACTGTCGGCGACCAGAGTACAACAGTTTTGTTTCGGGTGAATAGGGGCCCAAATCAGAGCTGGCGTCGCCATAGGGACTGTGGATTCCCAGTGCACAGATCTTTCTTTTAGTCCAAAGCCAAATAAGGTCTTTTATTTTTTATTTTATTTTTTTTCCTCTCCAGATTGTCGAATCTACGAAATATGCAGGTCGAAACTTGCTGTATGTAGGTGAGAACCATTGACCGGCATAACCAGTGAGGCTGTATAACAAACACCAATGTATGCTCCCAGTTTAGTTGATCAGGACAGTAAAAAAGACTGTCCATTTAACGTAATCCACAGGTGCGAACGAGTTTGATATTAGGGGAATCCTGCAGAAGCTGCGAGCCATCTAGTGGTACCTATAGCAATATCGCATCCGTCTTGGGCGACCCCAGTAATTCCATATGCGAAGTAATTTAAAATTACGACTGGCCCTAACTCAAATTGTCTATTAAGCAACTGTTTAAGGCCTATTAGGAAAGTGAGAGAAAGCTTGGCGAAATATCATTCCGAGTTAGGCTAGAATATCAATGAATTTGAGGATCTTTAGGCAACAACCTGTAGTGCTCTGCCAAACTTTTGCTAGGATAGAAAGATATTAGACAAGCCGGGCCTCGGGAAAAGCGCTCTGGTGCCCCCAAAAACTAGTTAAATTAAACCTGTGGATAGTCGAAGCATCTCATGACGAAAGCCGTTCCCAGTAGCATCCGAGACTAAAAATCAAGGGGTCATGCTTACCAATGTTCAATTGTCCCTTGTTCGAAATTAGAAACCAAAGCTTAGCTGCTTGATGCTTAAGTAACCCCAATGTAACTGGTCTTTCCTTTTCTCTTTGAACCAACGCTCGCCTTATAACGAGTTCCACGAAGCGGTCTGATATTTACAATCAAAATTTCTTTGTCTCGCTCAACACCATGGTGCCTTCAAGCTTCAAGAGCACCGTCACAATCACACATATCGGTACTGCGACGGCTATCATTGACATAGATGGCGTTAAACTTCTCACCGACCCTTACTTCAGCCCAGCTGGTACGCAATACGACGTCGGCGTTACCGTGCTCAAGGTTTCTGATGACCCAGCCTTGAGCCTGGCTGATCTCCCCCACATCGACGGCGTTCTCCTCAGCCATGAGAATCATGATGACAACTTGGATATCCTGGGCCGTCGTATCCTTGATGGGCGTCACGTTTTTACAACCAAAGACGGCGCGAAAAATCTTGCTCCTCGTCCCGACATCCGTGGGATCGGCCCTTGGGAGTCGGTGGCCTTGGTACTTGGGGGTAAAGAATTTACCGTGACCGGAACCCCATGCAGACATATTCCTGGTCAAGAATGCACTGGCTTCATCATCACTTCAACGAGCTTCGGTGTCAGTTCCGATGGCCGCCCAAACGCTGTCTGGTTTTCTGGTGATACTGTCTACTTTGATGAACTGAAGGAAATTCGGCAGCACTGGCATGTCACAGCCGCTATCCTTAACCTTGGTTATGCGCATGCTCCTGGAGAGATTCTTCAAATCACCCAGCCAGGCACCGGTAGTGCAGATGGGCCTATCCAGATTACTATGGATGGTAAGGAAGGTGCTCGTATATTTCGTGAATTAGAGGCAGATATTCTGGTGCCTATGCACTTTGACTCTTGGGATCATTTCAAGCAACATGGGAAGGAGTTGAGGTTGGTGATGGAAGCCGAGGGCCTGAGCGACAAGATATGCTGGTTGGCTCCTGGGGTCCCTAAAAGAGTTATTTAAAGACCAAGCGCAATGTATAACAAGTACATACATATGTATCCTTACAAAAAAGTAATTCGACTGGGTCAGTCATGGCACGATATACGCCGCAGGCGCGGGCGGTCAGCACGGGCGAACGATTAACTCCAAAACACCATAGTAACTGAGGTAATTGACAACTCTTTATATCTCAACAGCTATAGCATTTCTTGATATGAAAATTTGCCTAGAAACTTTCCTAGTTATCAAAGGCAACATAGCTCAATTCCAAGTCTTTTGGATGCTATATTTCTGACATTACAATAAATTACGCTGTACTTTCGACCCTAGGCATGAACAATATATTTCTTAGTGGAGCTCTAAACTTAGGGTCTACTAGCATACTTGGAATCCGTCTTCAATTAACTGGCTTCAACAATATATCCTAATAGGATATGGTCGTTAGGATATGAACTTGTAATTTATCGCATTTACTATGTGTTTTGAAGTCGACCGTTCACTCTTTTGACCGCTCGCCCGTGGACTACCTAGGTACCTAGCCTAGGTACATTACTCATGGTTATTCATGCAATCTTTCAGTGGGGCATAACTTCTTGGCGGCTAATACTACCCCAAACAGAAAGTAGTGGCTGTCGGTGGCGTTAACCGCAAAGCCTTTAACATGAACAACACCATAGATAATAGTCCCGAAGCGGATTTGACTTTGATTCTATTATTACTTTTATAGGTCTCATCGCCGGAAAGCCGAGTTTGGCGTAGTCAAGTTCAACGTTAGTGGTTATATTATTCAAAATACTGACTTTAAGTCAAGAGTACTGATTAACAATGATTTATAATTCCCTTTTTGTTCACAAACTGTTCATCGGGGACTTGATTATGAATGAGGACAGCCCGTTGCTGACAGTTCAATGGAGCCAGAGACGTGCCTCACCACGACGTCGTCTTGGGGCTTACCAATACACAGCAGAAACTTCCCTCTCAGTTGCCGAACCAGTGGATATATTTATTATTCCTCTATCCTGAGCGCGAGACTATAAGAGTCTTGGTCGACCCATCTCATAGACTATACTCATACTATTTGCCAATACGTGTGGTGACAGATTTCTACAGCGCAATTATGCCGATTCAACTGGGAGACACCCGAAAGATCATCTGGATATGGCCCAGAGGCCTCTATCCTGGGCAAATGCCTTTCTATCTGAAGGCCAAGTCTCTGCCTCTATCTGCGCTCAACACTCCAGACAACCCGAACGGTCTCCTTACGATTGTCCCAATCAGAGTTGACCCAGCAGTTACGAGACTTGCCCCCGCTCTTCCCAACACCAAACCCCAGCCGCCAGACTCTCTCCTTCCGGTCATGGAAATCTTTGACGGAGATACGTCTCGCATCCTTCACCAGTCCACGGCCATAGTCCAATACCTCGAAGAGTGTTACCCCCCTTCACAGGGATACAGAGACTTGTCTGGTGCAAGCAGCCCTGAGTTAAAAGCTCACGTCCGGGCCATTGTTCAGCTCGTCACCGATGCCATGATATGGATGCAAGGCGACATCTTCCATGCCCATGATTTTGCGGTGACGTTGGGTCAGATCACCAAGGAAGAGCAGTCAACAGCCGCTTCTATATACGCCAGGCAGCGATGGAGGAAAGAGTTGGCCAAACTGGACCGCTGGGTACAGGAGCACGACCAGAAGAAGGAGCCAATAAGTCTGGCTGGTGCGCTGGACACTCCGAATATAGCGGATTTTACCTTGTTATCTGCTGTTGAACTCTTTAAAGATTTCTTTAACGTGGACATCCTTGAGGGATTTGCAGCTTTGGAAGTATGGTACAAGCGGTACACTGAGAGCCCCTGGTGGGTGCGTCGCGAGGACGTGGATGCTTTGGGCGAGTCTAGATTTGTAGATCTGTTTCGGGGCTGAGGACACTACATAGCTGCAGTCGGTTGGTTGGTTGGTTGGTAGACATTTTTCCAGACTCATACTCATGTATATACGCCCATAAGCTACTTATTGAACCAGAGAGTCTGAGAATTACAAAAGCCCTTGAGCCCCTCGAGCCCCAACTCAACACCGATCCCACTCTCCTTGTGACCTCCAAAAGGAACGTGTGGAGCGACATCAAAGTGTGAATTTATCCATACGCTGCCGCTTCTCATCTGGCGCCCAATGCGATGCGCCCGCTCCAGGTCCTTGCTCCATACCGATGATCCAAGACCCATGGGCCCATTGTTTGCATTAAAGATCACATCGTTTTCATCACTCCATTTCATTAACGGAACAATGGGAGCAAATGGTTCTTCCGTCACTACACGTGAGTTCTCAGGCGGATTATCGATGATAGTAGGGTCGATAAAGTACCCGGCCGAGTCTTCAATGGTTCCGCCTAGAGCAGGAATGAGCCCTTCGCTTTGGATGGAGGCGAAAAGGCCTTTCGCTTTGTTGAATTGCATCTCATTTTGAACAGGGCCAACAAATACATCCGGCTTGGTGCCTTCGCCAAGAACCAGGGTCTCGACGAAAGCAACGAGCTTGTCACGGAATGTGTTATAGATGCTTTCGTGCACATAGATGCGTTTTATCATCATGCAGACTTGACCCGAGCACAAGAAAGAGAGGATGCCGACCTGACAATAGATGTGACATCGGTTAGATAACAGCCGATGAGAAAACAGCGTCGCATTCGCTTACCTTTTGAACCACATCCTCAATATCCACATCCTCACATATGATAGCGGGATCATTACCACCCAATTCCAAGGTATAGTGCTTGAGAAATTTGGCGCAACTGGCCGCGACCTTCTTGCCAGTCGCGGTGGAACCAGTGAAACTGATCTTTTGTATGCCTGAGTGGGCCGTCATAAGTGGTCCTAGCGTCTCATCGCCACTCAAGGCCTGAAACAGGCCCGCAGGGAAGAATGGAATGGCCAATTCAGCGAGCTTTAGGGCAGAATATGGGGTAAAGGGGGACGGCTTGACGATAATGCTGTTGCCCGTGATCAAAGCAGAGGTGATCTTCCCTACCGCCAGAAGAATAGGAAAATTCCAGGGAACAATAGCACAAGCCACCCCGAGCGGAACAAACCGTTGGATGATTTTGCATTTCTTGCTGTCTTCGAGGGTTATTTCAGGGAGATCAAGTGTAGCCAACCCCTTGATCCAAGTGACAGCAGTGTTGACTTCAACCAAGGCCTGCGACAGAGGCTTGCCTTGCTCTTGTGTCAGTAGGTTGGTAAATCCATCCTTCTCTGAATCAAGAGCGTCCGCCCATGCGAAGAGAGCGACCCGCCGCTGTTCTATGGGGAATTGCGCCCAGAGGCGAAATGCCCTCTGGGCAGCATTCACCGCACTGTTCAGCTCGTTTTCAGCCGATAAAGGGACGGGAGGGTTGGGTTGCTTGTTGGCTGGGTTGATTGCATGTCGGGTTTGAGCAGTGGATGTCAATTCGCTATTAATGACATTATGAAAAATCTGTGACAAGCGATTAGTGACTAGCAATGGGGTTTTAATTGCATAGGACTGAATTTTCAAGAAAGATGGAAGGCGAATAGAATAAAGCAGGATTTTACTTTTGTGAAGACATACCGAAAAGTTCAAGCGGGCCGAAGAGACCATTGTGGGCGAAAATTCAATATCACTCTGATAGAGAAATTGGGAAGCAAATGGAAGAAAATGAGGATAGTTACACACCTGGCAACATGGAGCTGTCGTAGTCGGGCTACCTGTGCTTTTATACTTGGGACCGCTTGTCGTGGTCCCTTTCCTCATCTCCCGACAATCCATCCCAGGTGTGCAATTCCATGCACAAAATTGGTTATACCTTCTAAACCCCGCCTTCCCCATGTTCTCCTGCTACCCCGGCATTGTTCCTCGGGGTTCCTGAATCTTGCGGGACGGTTGGACGGCAGGTGCGAGTTACTCGGCAGGTCCCAGCTAGAAAGATGCCCGGCACCATCATGGGGTAAATGCCGATCACTTCCCGCCACACTGCGATACTGCGGGGTGAGTTCCGAGCCATAGATATGTACCTAGGTAGTTAGCTGAGGACCAAATTTACCTAGGACCTTGGAAGGTTCCAAGGTTGTCAAAGTTAGCAGGAGCCAATCAAAGCACAACCCGCGCTTATCTGATGTTGTGGGGATTTCTGATAACCATGGATGAATACTAGTAGTCTCGGGCTTATCCAGCTTTGCGGTGCAAATGCGGCGAATCAGCATGAAGCCGCGTTGATGATTGAGACTGATTTAAATTGACAAGGATGAGCCGAGTCCCTTTGCGTCGAGGGGTTAACTGGGCCTCCTGTCTCCGGTATAGATCTTTTTTTCAAACTGATTCCAAACTGCCAGTCAGCTGCGGTAAAACCGGTTGGAGTTACATCTGCTAAATAAACATGTATATCTTTTGGACATACGTAGGCATGTAACTAACTTCGCAGGCCTCAAGTTTCTCCCACATAATATGTCAGTTCTATTGGTTAGATAGATACGTCGGAGACTTGGTTGATTGAAACTTTCCCATACCTATGAGTCCTGGGTAGCTGTTGCTCCGATGGTAGGGGCAGGCAATAGAAAGACTCGTGATCTACTGAGCTATCCTGATAAGCGCGCATCGACAGCTAATTGGCCTTTAATAACGCAGTGTCCGATCCCATCGGTAGCGTTTGACTGGGACCGGGAGCAAGTGGCGAAAAATTGATGCTTTGATCTTATAGAAAATGTAAATCATCCGTTCCCAACGCAGAACAAAGCGGGGAAATCTCTCGTTCCTTTTTCCCAGTACCAATTGTCAACGGTAATTGGAGATACAACCGGCTCAATTTGATGGCAGTTGTGATGATGGCGGCTGGTTTTATGATAAGAGGAATACCCTATATATAAAAGTAGGAGGTTGTGCAAATCCCACCGAAAATACGCATTACAGAGGATTTATTAATACCATACCGTGCACCATGGACCCTTCGAATAACGGAATTAACGTCGTCTCTTCAGCCACCTCTACAATTCAACTAGGAAAGAATTTCTCAAGAATGTAACTGTTACTACCTTTACCCCGTCGTCAATTTGCCGTTGGCATTTCACTAATGAGAACTTGTATTTCCATTATAGATCTTTGCTAGGCCTCGCCTTTGCCATCTTGAATGTAAGCAAAACATGTCGAATGGCTTCTTTTACCTTTCCCTTCTCTGACCACACGAGCATTCTCTAGTCTTGGACAGCATTCGCATCTGCCCTTCCACTGAGCTTAACGTCTGGTGGACCAACTAGCATCGTTTGGGGTAAGGATTCCAGCAAGATATTGCGAGTGCCGTTTTTCGTTCAATGAGAAACTAAATGAATAGGTCTCCTGGGTGCATGGATCTGTACGCAGTGTATCGCCATATCATTGGCTGAGTTCCTTTCCGCATATCCCATGTTTGTGTTACCACTTCACCTTGAGATTCGTTGATGGCATTCCTAATAGAGGCTGGGTGCATCATAGGGCCGCGGGACAATACCATTGGGTTGCTGGCAAGTTCTCATATCTATCTATACTTCATTCAAGACCCTAAGCTGACATATGCCGCGCCCATTTGTAGTTGGTAATTGCTCCTATTCTTCACATTTCTTTCAGACAATACTAAGGTTATATGATCTCCAGTGGCCTGGGAAAATAGCTTTAGGGCCATTCTCTCGTGGTATACTGGATGGTTCAATGTCACCGGCTGGGTAAGTTGGGATTGAGCTCTAATAGCCCATCAGGTAAATTTAACCCGACTGACTGCCATAGGTTTTCCTTATGGCCACTGCGTCCCTCTTCGGTAGCTCCCTGATTATGAATGTTGTGGTCATGATGAGCCCGGTATGCTCCTTTTATACTAAGGAACTGAAGGTGCGAAAACAAAAAGAGCGTTACTGACTGTTCCATCCTAGAGATACGACCCACAACGATGGGAAGTGTTTCTCGTCTACATCGGATTTTGCCTCGTGGCCTTTTTCGTCAACGCGTTCTGGAATTCAATTCTTCCAGCGATCAATAAGGCTGCTCGTACGCAAATACACCAAGCTTTGGCTTCAACGTTTGCGTTGTTTGACTTTCAATATAGTGATATGGTCTCTCTGCGGATTTGTGGTCGTTTCCGTCACTGTCTTGGCCTGTGCCTCTCCTGGTTTTAATTCCGCGCGGTAAGCCATATTTTCCTCCGATTACCTTGCCGGAGATACTAAGATGGAATGCAGTTTTGTATTCACAGAGTTTATCAATCAGACAGGATGTAAGATCTTGTGTTCCTCGCCCATATAACCTTTTCTCAATGCCAAATAGTCACTGACACAAAATTAGGGCCGGACGGTCTTGCGTGGCTTCTGGGGGTATGTCAAACCTGAATTCCTCCTGTGTTTTGTTCTTCTGTTCTGTTCTTTTTTTTTTTTTCAGTCGACGCTAATCTGGCTTGTTCGTACAGCTGCTGCAAGGTGGACTATGTCTGACTGGATTTGTAAGTTTATTGTCTTTTGGGGTTTGGACGACTTATCTGACATTGATAGGATGCGGTTGCACACATGATTGAGGGTAGGCACTTGTTATGTTATGTCTTCCTTCGTTTTTAGATGCACCTTCCAGAGACTCAAGCAATTACTAAAATATCGCAACCACAGAGATTCCTAACCCATCGGTAGAGGGACCTAGAGTGATGGTTGCATGCGTGGGTATAGGAGCCTTCACGAGCAGTGTGTTTATCATCGTCCTCCTTTTCGTATGCCATAATATCGACACGATCATCTCATCTCCTTATGGACCACTCTTACAAATTCTGCTTGACGCAACCAGTAGCCCGGTTGGGGCTACATGCCTAATACTGTAAGTCATGGGAACGCGCTTCATGTGAAAATGTGGACTTGCTAATGAATATTGACCAGATTTCCTATAATTTGCCTACTACTTGGTGTTGTCGCAATTATGACCACTTGTAGTCGCATGATTTATGCATTATCCAGGTTAGAATTCTATATCAGATCCCACGTTCCCGTCGAAACGGTCCTAACCTTATCGAAGAGACTTTGCGCTCCCTTTCTCTAAAACCTGGACAAAAATCCACCCAGTTCTGGGTACCCCACTTAATGCTCTTTTGGTTACCACATCCCTGGCTATATTGTGCGGTTGCATTTATCTTGGTTCCTCAAGGTTGGTCTTCTAATCTCGGCGTTATCGTGGTCAGAGATGAAGAGTTGCTAAGCAGACTGCTTTCTAATTTAGTGCATTTAATGCCTTGAGTTCCGCCACAGTCATTTGCTTCGACATTTCCTATGGTTTACCGATCCTGATTCACTGTCTTCGGGGCCGCAAAATGCTTCGCTCCAGTCCATGGAAACTGCACCCCACTCTCGGGTGGATTGTGAACCTGGTCTGGTTCCCTTTTCTCGCTGTATCAAGGCCTGGAGGGTGACTAATTGTATCCCGGAATTATAGGTGTCAATTGCCTACATTAGCCTCACGACAGTCCTTTTCCTGTTCCCACCGTTTATTTTGGTTACTGGCGACAACATGAGTAAGTGCTCCAGAGAAAGAATTTGCTTTATTTTGCCCCTCACAACACTTAACATGATATTTTTGCTAGATTACTGCATTGCAGCTGTGTCGGTAGTGGTAGTCATCTCCACCGGATATTGGTTTTTCGAAGGTCGTCATAAATTTACTCGCCTCTCCGACAATGCAGACCAAGATCATGCAATCCACACTGCCTCATTCACCACTGACAAATAAATTCAAATATTCAAATTTGTGCTCATTATTTATCCATATCCGTCTCCTTGAGTCTCCATTATGAAGCCACCACCTGGGCCGACCGCTGCGGCAAGGAATCGGAAGTCATTGGAAAATTAACTGGCCGGGGTAGCGGTGATAACGGAAACAGAAACTGGATGAGCTGCGATGAGTTTCCATTTAGCTCGCTAGAGGAAGGGGGCAATCCAACTACAAACAGCCGGAGCTGTGTACCCGGCTATCAGCAAGAGATCCAGGGCAACTTAAACCAGCTACCTAGGAAGCTGGAGCAGGAGGTCTCATGGACGGACTCAAAGATGAAACTTGAACTGCTTGGAAGTCGTGGGGAATTGACTGGGAGGGCTCTAACGCACTCGGCTCCGCTTCGAATCCTAAGCTCGACTCTTCGTAGAATCATGCCCGGAATAACAGAAAGAGCTTCACTTTCCATCTTTTCAATTCGGACTCTAACGACTGGGCCCACTGGCTCCTTATATGAGGTATTTAATCACAAGCTCCTCACAGATCCTGGCAAGCAGGACAAAATTGACCTTGTGGTTGCCGCTATCAACACCATGGGTAACTCGAAATACCGAATCGGCAAGAATGCTTGGTGCAAGGTTGATGGTCTGAGAAGTCATCCTTTTTGGGGCATGGCCTCCGGAAATTTCATCAGAATCCAAGCGTGAGTTTTCATTGACTATACCGATCTTGATTATCACTTTGCAGCTGACAGTTTGGCCTGGATATATAGGTGCACTGTCGCCTTCGACAATGCGGCTGCTAGCGCCAAAGTAAAGAGAGGCGAGGAACCGACTCCGGAAGAGATGTTTAATATCAAGAGTAAGCTTTCTTGTATATCGATTATTTGCTTCGGA